TTGTTATTCAGCCTGTTCTATCTTTTTTAACTTTGAGCACCAGCCCCTTTAAACCTCTCTGCACGGCCCTGCAGTAAGACGAAATTCCTGCATTATGACAGCAGACTGTGCTGGAACAAATAGAATTGAATCCCGGGATACCAGCAATCCCGCGCTGAATTTCAAGCACTGCTTTAAGTTAAGTACAAACACACGCACACACAAATTAAATGTTCACAGATTGATATGCGCCGGTATCCCGTGCAATTTTATTTGTTCCCGCACTTTCATCATTCATGTGTATGTGTGTGTGTAATTCCGAGTACCACCTCGAACGTGCAATATTAAAATAGGATCTCTGAAAGATGTTAAGATGAATGTTTATGACTTACTTGCTCCGACATCATGACAGTGCGAATCTGGCTATTCTCTCCTCGACTGGTCAGTGATCTTCTTCATCTTCATCCAAAGCAACAGGCAACTGTAGTTTTCCAAGTGACCAATCAAAGGACCGGAGACATCAGCCACTGTTCCCGCCTCCAAAGTCTCAAAATTCAACCTGTCTAGCGAGTGAGACGATGGCTTTTCTGTTCGCGGATGCTGTTCTGTGCGCTCATATCACATACACACGTGTGGTTTTTATGTGTGCGGGTTTTGAGATGGATTAAACAGCATATATGACCGTTTACGTAATGACCCTCTATTTGTATTTCATTTTGAATACTCTGTGTCACACATAAGTGTTTGTGACAGATCACATGTGGCTTTGAATTAAACATTTAGCCCACTTACATACTTACATACATACATATATATCGTATATCGCTATTTTGCCTAAAAATACCGAGATACGGGTTTTGCTTCATATTGCCCATTTACATGCATATCAGTCTGTGAACGTTTCAGGATTTTGAACTCAGACAAACCCCTAACCCCCTGCTTCTTTCTGCTTTTATTATCTTTTGACAAACACTTGTATCCAGAGAGTCTGAAACCTTACAAATTTCTAATTTATCCTTTGCTAGGCATACAGCTTAATGATACTGGGATTTTTTCACATACAAAACAAGACACTTGTGTTTTATTTTTACTCAGCTTACGTGGATCACACATCAGTTCCTTGTATAAACCTGGAACATGCAAAATTCTAGTAGGCCTATTTGATAAATGATGTCTAATATTTATTTATGCCAGCATTGCATTTTTAAGACACTTTACAAAGTTCCCATACAGAATTCCTTCAGAGGTTTTCTGCATTACACTGCCCTTCCGGCAGATTCCTTCTGTAAAACTTCCTTGTTTCCCCAAGACTTAGACAGCAAGGTGCTCCTGGATTGGCTGCTGCTTGACAAATGTATGCCGCTGGTATTGGAGGATACTTGTTGCCCAGCACAGCAGCAGCAGAGCACCCTGAGAACTTTGCCCCTGAAGTCAACAGACACATAGTAGTAGATGAAGGGATCAATGCAGGGACCAAAGCAGCTGAAGGCCAGGCTGACTACATAGGGCACATAGAGGTTGTACTTGTCATCTGTCAGGTAGATGTCTAAGTAGTGCAGAAGCAAGAAGATGTTGCTGGGGAGGAAACATGCAAGGAAGACCAGCAAGACCAGGGCGGTGAGGCACGCAGCGTGGGAGTAGCGGTGCCCTCTGGCCAGAAGGGTCTTCAGCACGGCGCCATGGCAGAAGAGAATTACAAGCAGAGGGAGCAAGAAGCAGAGACTGAAAAGGCTGGCATAGTAGGGGAAAAAGAAAGTGGCCATCAAAGCAGTGGGCTGGGCGTCATGACAGGTGTTGATGGGAGGGTCGATCAGCTGGTAGGACTGGCGAAAGAGTAACAGGGGCAGCATGGCCAACAGGACCACCACCCAAACGGACACACTCATGACCAGGGAGGTGCGATGGCTGCGCAGGGTCAGAGCACCAAAGGGGTGCACCAGAGCTATATACCGATCTATGCTGATTAATGCCAGGCAGAGCATAGAACCATACATGCTGCCATAGAGCAGAGCTATGACCAGTCGACACAGTGGCTCACTGAAGAACCAGTCATTGCCAGCAAAGTGGTAAGTGATGCGGAAGGGCAACATCAGAAGGAGGAGCACATCCAGCACTGTCAGGTTGATGAGGAGGATGGTGGATGGGGCCTTCTGTGTATGGAAGATCAGCACCCACAGGGCCAGGATGTTCGCTGGGAGCCCGACAAGGAATGCGACCGAGTAAAGGACGGGCACCACAATCACGGTGGTGGAGCTCTGGATCTCCAGCTTCTGTTTTTCCGACACCAGGGTGAGAATCCCGTCCAGGTCCTCTATTTCTATGAGGCCAAACATACGGGGACCTGTAGGAGAGGAACAGAGGAGTGCAGTGAGTATTTCACTATTGCTCATCCATCTCATGAGTGTTATTCCCTGACTTGCTGTGTTTATTGCTCAACACATACAGATAGATAGTATACAGAGTAGAGTGTGATAAACGAAAACATCCAACCAGCAGCAGTTGTTGTCAAAACGTCTTGTTTATTACAGAGGACAGAAGAGAATTGTGACTAAGAGGGAGGCCAGAATTAAGAGCTCAATATAACAGTGGTGCTCAGAAAGGCGTCTTCAATCCATGAAGTGGTTCTTGAGGCAAAGTGGGACTTCCTGGTACTATGTAGGGGTACATATGTGTATGTATTTTTTAAAGATATGGACTAATTGGCCTATTTGGTATTCATATATGCAGTACTAGGAGGCTCAAAAATATGTTTGCAGCTATTGGTATTAGTAGAATTTTAAAATTTTGAATTTCAAACAGAAATTGATATTAAAACAATATTGGAGATATGAGAGTGCAGAGGCCCTAGTCCTCACTGCTATAGACTTCTTTCTCTGGGAGATATTAAGACAAACTATACCTTCCTGAACTTGGTAACACTAATACCTTGAAACTGCTAATCATTGATGCATTTGGGAAATTGATGGTAATGAAGATTTTTGCTGGGAAACATTGTTGTGTGTTAGAGACCAGCTACAGAAATGCATGAACAATGATGGGAAGCAGTTTGCATACTTGTGCGATTAGTATAATCATTCTTTTGCTCTGATAAACATACTCAGAAAATAACAGGAATTCAACTCTAAACCTACTTTTTATACACTACCAAGTCAAACGGTTTACCCCTCCTGAAAACTTGTTTTTCTTCATCATGTTTTACATAATTAAAAAAAAAAATGAAAATAAAATACACAATTATGGAAAAAAACACAAGGGATAACTAAAGCAATGCGCAGAAAAAATTAAACATCTAAGTGTTTGATTCCTCAAAACATCCACTAAACATCCCTAGATTATGTTTAAATAAAAATAATAAAAATAATTTTCTGCAAAAAATATCACCTGACATTACTTTCCAGGTCTTTGTCAAAGAAGGCTGCTTGTGTATGATTGTGAATTAGGCCTCTGTGCCTGTGATTGGAAGGTTGCTTGTTTAAATCCCAAAACCAGCAGAGCGATGTTACTGTAGACCCCTTGAGCAAGGCTCCAGGTCTCCAGGTATTTGCCCCAGGTATACTGGCTGATTTGACTCTTTGATTCTCAATCAATGTAATGCAAATTCTTGTGGGTTTTTTGTTTTGATTCCTACACTTTTGTTTTATCCAGTTGATCCTTTATAAGTTCTATGCAATTGAGACCTGGAGACTGGGCAGACCAGGTCATATGATTGAATTGTCCTTCACGTTCCATTTTCCCCAGAGAGTTCTTGCACAATTCTGAGGTGCGTTTTTGGTCATCTTGCTGAACGATGAAGGACTGTCCCAATGAATACAAAGAGGATGCATGAAGAACACTGTCATAGCCATACTGCTTGAGATTACCAATGACTAGTTAAAGATCAACAACTCTATGACTATCCAAGCAACCTCAGACCATCTCCTTTATGCTTGACAGTGGTAACTAGTCTAAGAGTTTTATTTCTAACCCTTTTCTATAAATAAATACACGTTTTTTGTAGTTTCCCAGTTTTTCTGGTAGATAATTGAAGTAGTTCTTAGGGGAAACCTTAACTATATCCTTAATGAGATTCTACACCTGATCCATTGCCTCCCTTTATTGTCTTCCTTCAAGACTAGACTTTACGGACTGAATGTAGCAGAATGCTTTTTGCTTTGCAATGACATGAGCTGAGTACTGCGTTGCATTTGCCACGCAACTAGTGTGTTCTACAGCTTAAGAACAGCTCCCTTGGACTTCTGGACACTTACCAATGCATCTAAGAATTGTGTTTGGGTCATTATAATGCTGTGATGTGTGCAAACATATAAAACTGATTAATCATCGTAAATACCTAACTCTTTTACCGCTATATTTCATTTGCCAAATTCCCTACTATTTCCATAATTAAATTTAGACATTTTTGTAAATCTCTGGCCCTGTGGCCTTTGGGGGACGTTAGGACTCTGTACCGGTGATCGGAGGATCACTGGTTCAAATTCCATGGCTGGTGACTGATGCCACTGCGGGTCCTCTGAGCGAGGCCCTTAACCCCCAGTCGCTTAAGGGGCTCTGTATGCTGGTTGACCCTGTGCTATTACCTCCAAATTTGCTGTCACCTCTACGTGTGTTTGTGTGTCTCAGGAAGGAGGCAGACCCCGAAATGCAGGAGACTGATTTAATGAGACTGACACAGCCGATTACAAACAATGCCAAAGGGGAAATCTGGGAGAATAGTCGGGTCGGGCGCTGAAGGGTCGAAGCCAGGGAGATCAGTCCTACAAAGAGGGACAGGACAAGAAGACGATGGGATGGATCGGGCAGGGCGAGTGGAGCAGGCAGGCAGGGTTGAGGTGGCAGGCAGGGCAGGTGAGGTAAGCAGGAACGGGGATGAAGGCAGGGCGAGCGGGACAAGGCAGGGATGCAGGGCAGGCGAGAGGAGACACGAGACAGATAAATGCTTGGTAAAGTTCCGGTACATGGCAACAATACTTTGCGAATGCTGCTAGCTCATTCAAGCTTTAAGTATGAGACCGGTTAAAGAGGATGATTGTTAACCGCTGTGCTGTCCTGCCCCTGTGGGCATGACAGGTATCCTGTTCAGGGTGCTTCATGCCATATTCTTCCTGGGATTAGCTCCAAGATCACCAGCACCCAGTACTAGAAAATTGGCTATAGAATATGGATGGACAGAAATAAATGTTTAGCATCCTATGCAAGAAAGTATTACAAGCAGATTTTATTATCTTGATTAATGAGATGGAATCCATGTCTAAAATATTAAATTTATTTAATTAAATTAAATTATAATTATATTCAATTATTTATTTAATTAAATTATTCTAGTATATAAAATATTATATCCGAACATGTTTATATGCATAATTGTTGATATATGTTTGTATATGTGTATAAATAATAGGAGCATTGAAGCATCTTAAAACATACTGTACCTTTTTCCCTAGTTAGTTTTCTATCCATACATTACATTCTAGATTTTCCAAATCCCTTTAATTCTAAATCAATCATGTAATAATCTTCTTGTGAGCTACGCAAAACACAATAAATCTATAGATGAGTTAGGTGATACATGCCTTAATTAAATCCCTGCTGATTATCCCTTAAAATAATATTGTTAAACAAGTAATTTCTCAGTTTAGACTAAATTATAGCCTCCACAACTTTAACAGCTAAAATAAAAAATAAAACAATATCTGGGAAAAATACTATCAGACCCCTGTGATTTTTTTGCTAAACCTTTTTGATACATTAGATTCATTCATCTATCCATCCATCTTGAAACTGCTTATCCTGTGAAAAGTCGAGGGGACATTAGATTCAGTCATACTAATATATACCTTTCTCTACATCCTCCCTCTCCTCCCATATCCAGGCAGGACCGAGCTGCACGTATCTCAGTGGAAATTCTATCAATCTACCAATCAGACCAGCTTGGTGCCTTGCTACATTCCTCCAATTCTGTCTCCTTTGAGTCTATCATAATGCTTTTTTGTCATAGATAATTGTATAGTCTGTTATTAATGTATATTGATGCCGTTAAAGTATGTTAGTATAGTAAGGTATACTTAAATGCTGCTCATAAATGCTCAATGAATGCTTTATGAATGCATTATGAAGATCCACTGAATATTCCACGAATGCATAATGAAGGCATTATGAAAGTGTTGTTGATGAAAAGCGTTATGACATATTTAAATATATGAAACATTTACCTTCTGTTCATTATATTTACTCTTTTAGTGGCTCAGTGGGTAGCATTGTTACCTCACACCCCCAGGGCTGCGGGTTCAAATGTCACTTCTGCTGTGTGTGTGTGCAGTTTGCAAGTTGGTACCGCATCTTGCGGGTTTTCTCCAGGTACTCCGGTTTCCTCCTGCAGCCCAATGACATGCAGTTAGGCTGATTTCCAGCTCTAAAAGGCTGACAGCACATGCCTGCATGGGCGTCTATGTGTCCTGCGATGGACTAGCATCCTGTTCGGGATGCACCCCCTACTCTGTACCCTCTGCATCCTCCCCTCCATCCTCCTGATGCCGACCAGAGGAAGCATTTAGAAGACGGATGCATTAATTCTTTTGGGTTCAACTCCGCCAATCATTAATTAGCTTACTTTTGTAGAAAATGGGAACTATAGCAACTTTAGCATGGTCTATACTGGTCTATACTAGTAAGAACAAGGGCAAGGGAGTGTACATATGCATAAACAATTCCAGGCATGCAAATAGCCACATGACCAAAAAATACTGCGTTACCGATCTGGAGTTTATCACGCCTAAGTGCAGGCCTGTTGAAGGATTTCACAGTACCCACCCTGAGCACAGTGTTTGTTCCACCACACGGTAGAACTTACCTAGTCCTTGGAAAACTGCACAATGCTATAAGAGAACAGCAGAACACGCATCCTAAAGCAGCAGTCTGTAACCAGACAATAATACCTAAATGCCATCAAAATGTATACTTTACAACCAAAGAGAAAAACATTATGAACTGTGTATACGCTAACATTCAAAATAGCTGCAAATCCTGCACACCCCCCGCCCACCACCACCACCATCATCACTTACACAATCAGATTATTTGTCTTCTTATTTAGTTATATTTCGACACCTCCTACTGCTAAAGTCAAACCAACCATAATATCACTGGTAGTCTGGCCTGGGCCAGTGAAGGGGAACTTTGGGAAAAGTACAGTCTGGGATCAGCCTGACATTGTTCCTTTAAACACACCCAGATGGTATCTAGTTTACACAGTATAAGTGTATTCGTCAGGCTGAGAAAACATCTGTTTAAATGCCTTGTCTGCCTTGATAAAATGAAGAAAAACTCAGATATCGACTCTTTACTCAAACCAAATGAGATACCAGCATCTTTCTTACTGCCTTTACAAGCATATCAGGAGTTCAGCACACATGCTTGTAAAACAGAATGAAAAATTATCAGTCAAACCAAGAATGCGTAGCCTTTCAGCTAGAAGCGGCCTGTGGAACATTATAAAAATGTTAAATGTTTTTAATCTGCCAATATGCTGTATAATCTCATAATATAACTCCTTGATCTTAGTAGTGGGTAAATGAGGAACATAAAAGAAAAACACGGCAAAGAAAGGCCATTTAAATATGAATAAATCATTCTTGAAGACCTCTCTCTATTTTCATCCATAAAAATGCTACAGCGAATCACAGCAAACATGCATAAAGTAAATCACATGGTCTGCCTGCATCCCCAGTGCATTTATACGCTCACACTCCCCTGTACATTCACATCCACTCATGCTGAGCAGGCATGCGGGCAGCTCAGGCTCAGAGGACGCAACTCACGGAATTCAGAGGCGTTTCCTGCAGCCATGGGGCCGGTCAGGCTGCTCTGACCTCCTAAAATCCAGCAGAGTGCCAGCAGCAGCTGCAGGGCTCGAGTGGCGGGAGGCCGGGCCATGGAATCGGGAACCTCTCTTTGTAGTGTTCTGTTACGTTTGGGTTCTGTATGCATCTGCTCCAAGAGGACAGGATGTGAGACAGTCTAGCCTCCCCTCTATACAGAGCTTATGGGCTTTCCTCTTTCCAGTTACCACCCCTTTCCTGTTTCTGATACACTCATATACACACACTTAGCTAGACTTACAGGCACATTTGCTTACAATTACCTCTCTCACAGACACATGTATTCAATCCAAACTCACATTTGCCTTTTATAGTAATGCAGTCACACATGTCCCTACACACACAACCCCATAATGCACACATTTGTAAACATGCACACTAACAAATACGCGAAGGCAACACCCAAACACATGCAGTGTTAGTCAGTGATGTACAAATACCCACTCACTCATACATACTTCTTATCACATACTAAAACACACACACATGAATGCTATTTTCCGTATGACAGTAATAACATAAGAACTTAAGAAATTTACAAACGAGAGGAGGCCATTCGGCCCATCAAGCTCGTTTGGGAGGAACTTAATAGCTCAGGCAAGGCTGGAGATCAGCCTGTCACGCTGATTGAGTTAGAATAGCAGACTGGATGCTTTAAAATGAGGGTGGTGCTTGAAATCATTGTTCTTCCTCTTTTAAGGACTTGCAGTCATCATTGCTTTGCACAAAAAGGGCTTCACATGCAAGGATATTGCTGCTAGTAAGATTGTACCTAAATCAACCATTTATCAGATCATGAAGAACTTCAAGGACACAGGTTCAACTGTTATGAAGGAGGATTCAGGGCACCCAAGAAAGTCCAGCAAGCCCCAGGACCATCTCCTAAAGGTGATTCAGCCGCAGGATCAGGCACCACCAGTGCAGAGCTTGCTCAGGAATGGCAGCAGGCAGGTATACTGTAAGTGCATCTGCATGCACAGTGAGACAAAGACTTTTGGTGGATGGCCTGGTGTCAAGAAGGGCAGCCAAGAAGCCACTTCTCTCCAAGAAAAACATCAGGGACAGACAGTTATTCTGAAAAAGGTACAGGGATTGGACTGCTGAGGACTGGGCTAAAGTCATTTTTTCTAACGAATTCCCTTTTCAATTGTTTGGGGCATCCAGAAAAAAGATTGCCCAGAGAAGAAAAGGTGAGCGCTACCATCACTTCTCCCAACCATTGAAGAATAGTTTGGTGACTAAAAATGCGTTTTCCAGCGTGATGGAGCACCGTGCAAAAAGGCAAAAGGGGAACAAATCATCAACATTTTGGGTTCGTGGCCAGGAAACTCCCCAGACCTTAATCCCAATGAGAACTTGCGGTTAATCCTCAAGAGGCAGGTGGACAAACAAAACCCCACAAATTCTGACAAACTCCAAGCATTGATTATACAAGAATGGGCTGCCATCAGTCAGGGTTTTGCCCAGAAGTTGACTGACGGTATGCCAGGGACGAATTGCAGAGGTCTTGAAAAATATTGAATTTTTGCAGAAACGTAATGTAACTGCCAATAGAAGCCTTTAACACTTATGAAATTCTTGTAATTATACTTCAGTATACCATAGAAACATCTGACAAAAATATCTACAAACACTGAAGCAGCAAACTTTGTGAAAACCAATACTTGTGTTATTCTCAAAACTTTTGGCCACAATGTACAACAATGGATACAGTCAGCATATACGTTCTTAAGTAAAATTAAAACTGGTAAGTATCTAATTAAAGTAAAAATGTCATCACTACAATCAGTTACCGACTGATATACATACTGATTACTGCCATTACTGCTCTCATACACCTTCACAGTTATGCCTGTTCCCTCTCTTTGCTAGTCTCTCCTCCCTAGCAGCAGAATCTGCCCTTATCTTTCCACAGGAATGTACACCTTGTTGGACAGAGACATCTGTTAAAATGTTAAAAATTATTAATAAAATCAATTCAGTTTAGTTATACAGACTCTGTAGTAGGTTAAAATATTAAATAAATAAATAAATAATGACACGTCCACTGAATGACAAATTCCATTTTGCTGAATAACAAATTTTATAAACATTCATTCCTAATAGGCAGTTGATTATATGCCTGTTTCCAGCAATGACTTTGATCTTAATTTGTAAACCTCAGATTTCATCTCTAACTTAATGTTTCTAAAATCTACAACTTTGTGAATACTTCTTTGACATTTGACCGGATGACACCGTGACACATGGTACCACATATGGAAAAGGTGAAATTATCTTAAATTTACCTTTCCACTCGGGTGCTCTTCAGGGGTCTTCTGAGTCATGCTATCACATGTCACCGGATTAAACTCATGTTACTATAGTTCAAAACTGCTTTCAATCTTACTGAACAACATTATGGAAAATTTGTCTTTGCAGAACAAAGTGTTATACAGTAGATATTTAATTGTGTTTTTAATGGTGTATCTTGTCAATACCTTAAAGTTCTTAAGAGAATAGTTTACGATTTTTTAATTATTTTACAAACAATTGTCTACACTGACATTAAGTGAGTAATGTTTTACCCAATATCATTTTACCAATTTAATACTATAAAAATCACCCAATTTTTTTTTAGTATTATCAGAATTATGAATGATGGTCAAGAAAGTGATGTGAGATGAATGCCTTTCAACAACATTTATCCATTTGCATATGAAAATGTAAAACTAACTCCTTGCAGAAACAGACGTACAGATATGGCTGTATGTGCACTTGTGTTTTCCTCTCCAAATAGCTCGTGTCAGTCACGTCCGTTCTACCATCAAACCACAGACTATTGCTACGTGAGCTAAAAACCTTCATGCTGTCTAAAGTTAACCAGTTATGTGTCATGCTACTTCCTTCCTTAGGAGGAGCTCGGAAGAACAAAAGGTCCTGCTTGGAACAGAGAGCTACACCGCGAATCGGGATCAGCACATTTCCTGTTTATGCCTGTTAGGGAGCCTGTGACAGAAGAGGGGCAGGAGGAAGGGCTCAGCGTAAGGACTGGTAATATAGCTTCAGGCTGGAATTTCTGAGGCTGGGGGAGGTGACCTAAGAGGCACATGCCTCTGGTGCCACCAGCGATGCTGTCATGTCTGAGGTGGATTGTCCCACTTCTCATGTCTTTTCCTTGTAAAATATGACCACAGGTTCATACAGGACCTTTCATTTAATATAGATTTATTGTATTACATTATACAACAGTTAGTTCCATCCAAAAAATGTTATTGGACGAGAGGCAAGTTCTATGAATGCTGAAATCAGAGTGTAACCGCTCTCGGACATTTCACATCAGATGTATCACTCTGCTTCACAGGTGTATCTGAAAACCGTTATTCAGTTAAATTTAAATTATGCAAAGTAGTTGGGAGCAAGTGAGCTGTGCTGCATTGGAATGTTTGTGTTGCTCGGCAACAGTCAACATTTGGCTGGTGGGAACTATAGGTCCATAAATGTTTAAATAAATGATCAAGCAAAGTAGTATGTGTTGTGACTCATTACTGTTAATTTATAAATGTTACTCAATGAACTGTTGTAAAAAAGAAATAACATGCTCAAAATCGTCTGGTGGTATTCTAATATATCACAGCTGTGATTTGGTTGAAGGCACAATTCCTGTTGGAGTACAACCACACCCTGTCTCATATGTTATTGCTTAAATACTAAGCAGCTTTTCCCCTTATGTTAAAATATTTTAGTGAACAATGACTAATGTCACAGTCCTACAAATGTATCATTCTGCAGATCTGTTATAAGATTCTGTCTGTCTTTGTCTATACAGGACAAAGCAGTGGAAACTTTTGTTAGTCAGCGGACAAAAGTCAACAGCTGGGAATCGCTTAAAACCAGCTTATGCTGGTATCTGGTTGTAGATCGTCACATTCCAGCTCTTGCTGCTTTTTAGTGGTTTAGCTGGGCGGGTTTCCAGCTGGTCATGCTGGGGTGGCCAGCCTATCTCACTGATATATAGCCTGAGTTGAATGGAGAATAAGGATGTAGCCTCTGTCACCAGACCAAGAACTTCCTACCATTCTGTTTTTGGTCATCAGTGATTTGCTGCTTCTGAGTGGACTGAGCATGTCCTGCAGGTACTCCAACTTCCTCACATAGTTTTCATGCAGTTTAGGTGAATTTGTGCCTCTTCGTTGCCCTTTGTGTGAGTTTGTATGTCTGTGGGAACACCTGCTGGTGCCCTGCCGTATGATCTGTGGTTCTTAGTTTAGTTTCCAGACTCACTAAAACACTACACTGGGCAAGATTTCACACTGATGAGGCATCTTTCAGACTGCAGAAGTAGCTCCTTTAAACCAGCCTGGGAGGATGGTGACTGTTCGTATTGGACCCTGACCGATACCCACGGGGCCTGTTACAGCTGAACCTTAACCAGTAATTAAATAATAGAGCTTGCAAGATTTCCCAACAGTTCATCTTAAAGAATGTGCTATGATAGTCGTTCTCAGTCAAAAAACACTCTAATAGTTGTAAGAATCCCGTGGCTGTAGTTGAAATGATGAAGCCTTTGAAATAACTCACTCAACCCCATCTAGTGGTAAATGAAATAAATGTTTGTATGTTTTAATGTTAGAAACTCATTTTTACACCTTCACGTTTCCTCCAGTGACTTGATAGAAATATGTCTTTCAATGAATATATATATATATATATATGCCCCTCCTTAACCTAATTGTAACTAGCATGTGTTTCTAAAATGTTTCTTATCAATAAAATGTACACCTTCTCCACAGCAGTGAGCATATATAATGTGCTTGCATTTACATAACCTCACCACTTGAGGTCCCTCCTGATCAACAAAAAGCATAACATTGGGTGTAAAGCATTAAAACACTTCTCCTTTATGTAAAGCAATAAGAAACCTTGACTAGATGATCAGCTTACTTCCTTTAGGACCATCAAGATGTCTCGTGACACTCCTGAAAGAAAAGATTTGTTCTCTCTGTATTTTTTCATTCTGTGTCAGATTCAGCTTCTGACCACCACATGCCCGGAATGCCGGAAGTGGACTTTTCCAAGAAAATTAATTTTCCTGCTAAGGTCAGCCTGCATCATTCAAGAAGCCTAGTGCCAATTAAAGGAGCAGCACCTCATTCATT